AATAAAAATTTTTATTTTGAAATTATTTGCGAAATTTATAAATATTTGTATTACTAATTATCATTATTATTATTATTATTATTTATAAGAAACTCCCTTTTTTCCCATGTCCAAATTTAGAACCTAAATTTGTTGCACTACCTAAAAGTTCATTTCGTTTACGTGAATCCATAGGACGTCTACTCATTAAATCCTTCTCACGATCAAAAGGTCTTCTACTAACATCATCTTTTTCCCATTTTTTAGATTTTTTATAATTTTCTTGATGTTGTTCTAAAAGAGATTTAGGACGATGATGTTCCTAAAATAAAAATTAATTTTTAATAAATCTCGTAAAGAAATCACTGCTACTATTTTACTTACATTATATTCTTTGACTAATTCTGCTCGTTTCAAATCAATTTCAGTGTATTTCATTTCTTCATCTTCGTCTTTATCAGATGCACGTTTACGTTTTTGACCAGTTATTACCTAAAAAAATCCAATTAATTTGTTTTGAAAGTTAAAACCATTGTCGTTCACACACTAGAAAAAAACTACATTATACACTTACTTCTTTTTGTAATCTTTCTTTTCTTTCTGCTGGTGTTTCTGTCCAAAGAGAATTATCAGCTGAACTGGGATCTGTTGTTTTTTGTTTAAATTTTCTAGATTTCATACTGGTCGTAGAGCCTTAAATAAATTAAAATTTTAATTAATCTCTTTTCAAGAAAATAATAAATGCACTTTATTTTCCTTACCTCCCAAAAAATTTGAAGAAGGTGGAACCAGCATCCATTCACCACGCTCCAAAGATTTATCTGTTTTTTCTTTGGTATTTGACTATAATCTCAAATTTGTCAATATATAATTATTTGCTTTGTGATCAATGAAAATAAAATTTTTGAATAAGGATGAACCCAAAAAAATCTTTTGTGCCTTTTTTCTAAAATTCCACCACCAAAATTAGGTTTATAATATTTCCATAAATCATCACCAACCATTGTTCGTGTAATTAATCTAATAATGTCAGGATCAGTTGTTGTTGTTTCATTATTATAATTAGAATCCATGATTTGTCCACCACCGACTCCACTACCAGAGTCAACATTTGATGAATCTATTTGTCGTATAATTTGATCAGTTGATGTCCTACTACTATTTGTTGAAACAGAGTCTGAACTTGTGGTATGATTGTGATGTGTTGTGTTGACATATGCAGAGGCATCTCTTGTTGTGTTCTTACCATTCAAACCTTCTAGATTTTTTCCATCAATATATTTAGAAATTTTTGATAAACCTGCTTGTTGTTCAAAATCCTTGCTTGTGGATGGTGTGTTTAGAGAATTTTGTAATGGTGCTTCTAAATCTGTTATTATATATAATAATTTATTAAATAACAATAACAATAATAATATCATCATCACTATACTGTATTTTTTTATAAAACATAAACTTACCTTTATTATTAATAATTGAAGATGTATTATTATCTTCTAATGATGAAGATACTTCTTCAGTTTGTACTTCAACACTTCTAAATTCTGTTCCTGAAATACCCGCGGATTTATCTTCAGTTTGTACTTCAACACTTTTAAATTCTTTTCTTGATATTGTTGAAGTGCTTGTGGATCTCTCTTTAAACATATCAGATGATGGCCGATTATTTTTAAATCCATCATTTCCATCATCTCCATCTGCCAAATCATTGTCATCTCCATCTTCATACTCATTATCAACATCATCATACTCGTCATCACCGCCTTTTCCATTAAATTGAGCATTTTTTGAACCGTTTACGTTTGCTCTACCTTGGAATTCAGACTCGTATTGTAAAATTTCAATTTGTTCTTGATTATCGGCTAACAATTTTTTAAGCTCATATTTTTCGCTTTTTTCTTTTTGAAGATTAGCTCGTAAACCACAAATCATTCTATTTGCAGTATCTAGAGCTTTCATTACATCATCTTTACCTAAATTACTGCCTGGTAAAGTACTTGATGATGTCGGCGATACTCCCGCTGCACCTGAATTAAGTGGATCACTAGAATCAGTTTCACCATCAACACTAGTTGCAACATCTTGGCCACGTTTTCTTAAATTTTTTGTAGCTAATAAATTATCAAGTTGAGTCTGAAGTTCATCCAAATTTTTTGTTAAATCACTTTTTTCACGTTTAAGAGCGGCTACATGTCTTCTATTATTGGCCATATCTTTCTCATGACGACTTTTTGAATTATCGAGAGCTTCTGATAATTTGTCTTGTTTATCTTTTAATTGCTCAATCACATCTGTAGCAGTGGCTAATGCCTTTTCTATTTTCAAGTATTCATATTTTGCTCTATCAAGTTGTTGTTGAAGTTCTTCTACTTTTGATGTTAGTTCTTGTTTTTCTAACTCTAAATCAAATATTTCTTGTTTGTATTTTTCTATATAGTTTTTAAGGGAGAAAGTTGAAAATAATAATATAAATAAATAATGTAGGTATATAAATGTGAATATATAGAATCTTAATATCTGAAAATTTTGCTTTAATATAAAAACATCATTCTTTACTTTTCTCTTCCTCT